GGATCGGGCAGTGTTTCGTTCTGCTGTGCATGGGGTCGCTATGAGTCGGAAACGACTCGACGGCACTTAACAACAACAACAACAACAGTCTTATTCATCCCTTTGGGAGTCAGAGAATTAAAAGACTGTTGTGAGTGAATTGTAAAGTAATAATAATAGCTATGGTTTGTTGGAGCTTACTATGTGATAGACTCTGGGCTAAGCACTTGGCATGGCCTTTTCTCCTTTAATCTTTACAACGGCATTGGGAGATTGATGCTGGCATCATCCCTATTTAACACACAATGGACCTGAAGCTTAGAGGAAGACCATGAGCTAGAAAGTGACAGAGCTAGGATTTGAGCACAGTCACAAGCAATTTTGCCTCCTATTGAATGAAAACACTCAAGGACCGCTCCGGTGCACCTTTCCTAATACAGTAGCTTAGACAACTGACATCATCCATTTTCCAAGAACACATTTCAGTGTTGCAGCATTGGAAGGGGCTGCAGAGAGCACACAGCACTGCTTCCTCCTGCAGCATGTGATTGACTTCATACAGGTGGTTTTCAATCCAAAGACATTCTTCATAAGTCTCCAGTATCTTGAAGGCTTCTATCACCAGAAGCATCCATCCTTTATGTTTATGCTTTGTCTACTAATCCAATTTCTTCTCTTTTGAATGACAGTGAAGCTAGGGCTTAACTTCCTTCACCTGCCTTCAAATCTTTTTTCGATATATTTGAAGAACAGAGCCTCCTTCCTCTACTCCAAATGGTCGCAGTTCCATCCATGTTCTATGGTTATTGTCTAGACATTAGAATCACCAAGTCACTGAAATATGAAATCCCGGGTGTTTTTACATCAGTAACCCTGTAATCAATGTGCTAGATGGTAGCTGAGCATGACTAACCGCTTATAAAGAGCAAAGCATGATTCAGAGAACCCCGCCAAAAATAATGCATGTGGCCTGATCTTGGCCTGGTGCAAATGCATACTTTTGAGTCATAAAGCTCATTAGAAATGGGGATGTATTTGACTCTAATAAAGATTTTAGTGCAATCCAGATTTAGAGTGGTATATTTAGGGTAGGCCACAGGGTGGATTTTGGAGCGTAGGCAGATGATGTAAGGGAAGGAATAATAATCTTGCAAAGGGAGGCTTTATTGCTTCCCTGTCCCCACCTTCTGCCATCAAGAGAAAAGCCTGATTTAGGAAAAGTTTCTACTTACTAGAAAAAGGAGGCCTTTGTGATTCAAACAGAAGAAAGGATTTATTAGAAGCAATTTCTAGATTTAGGCCATGCTTAAAGCTTGTGTAAGGGCCTCTCCCAGGAATGCCTTGGTCCTTCATCTTTGGTAGCTCTGTCCTTGCAGTGTGGTGCTCAGTTAGATCTGCTGTGTTGTGGGGAAAACCATCAAACCTTCACTTCCAACCTATAGAGGTGCTGGCTCCACAGCTCCACCCTAACTCCCCATTTATCTGTCCTTCCTACTTCCCCAGCTGACAACAGAGAGGCAGAGAAGAAGAACAGCTGGGTGGAAGATGGGAGCTAGAGGAAAGGGTGAGGACATGGTCATGGAGGCAGTCAGGTTAGCAGAGCCGCCTGTTTAAGTCCACCCAGAGGTACATTGGAAGAAAGATGTGACAATCTACCTATGAAAAATCAGCCATTGAAAACCCTCTGGAATGCATTTCTCCTCAACATGCATAGGGTCACCATGAGTCAGAGTTGACTTGACAGCAACTGGTGGTATCATGTCTGGGACATTTCAGGAGGGAAAAGGAAGCTCACATTCACTGACTGCTGTGTTTCAGGTCTTTCATTAGTGGTTTCACATTCACTATTGCGTTTAGCTCTGGTAGCATAGTGGCTAAGGCACTTGACTGCTAACCAGAAGGCTGGTGGTTCAAACCCACCAGCCACTCCTCGGAAGGAAGATGGGGCAATCTACTTCCGTAGTGATACTGCCTCAGAAACCCAAGGAGGGGTCACTATGAGTCGGGTCCGACTCAACGGCACATAACAACAACATTGCATTTAAGGCATACAACAACCTTAGAGGAAAAGGAAATTATATCTTGTTTTACCAGATGCTGAAACTGAGGTTCAGAAAGGTCAGGTATAACTTCGGTCAAATCTGTCCACCAAGGAAGTGGTGACTCCACAGTCTCACCACCACAGCATGTTTGTTGTAATGAGAATAGTATATGATCACTTTTTTAAAAAGACTCCCTCCTCTCTCAAATGTCATGTCTTCTTAATCAGCCCCTTGCCTCTGTCCTCAGGCAGTTTGGTGGTTACGCCAAGGAAGCCGACTACATAGCTCACGCCACCCAGCTGCGCAATGCCCTAGAGGGTACAGCCACCTACCGGAATGATTTCTACTTCTGCACTGGATATGACCCTCCCATGAAGCCCTACGGGCGTCGCAATGAGGTCTGGCTGGTCAAGACATGAGTGACTCACGGAGCTGAGAGCTCCTGGAAGTGTGCCTCTGTGTCCATTGATTTGAGCTTCAGCTGCAACTGCAGCTGCTCAGCTTGCCTTCAGGGCCAGTCACTGCCAATTTTCTGAAATAAGTATATTGCAGCTATTGGAGCCCTTTTTCTCATGGTGGTAAATCATAGCCAAGACAGGCAGCGTCCTTCTGATTGATTTAGGAAATTCTGTGCTAGACCGAAAAACCCCAGCAGTGTTTCCCCAGCTATCTGGGTTACTAGAAACTGATTTTTTCTAAAACAAATTATTGAATTTTTAATTCTCTCATTGGGGGAAAAACGTGATTTGTACACGAGCTTTCATCTGTGATTCTTGTACGTGCTTTGTCTAAAAAGAAACTGAAAATAAAGATCTTTGACTTACTTAAAAAGCTGAGACAAATCTTAAGTATAATTGTTTCTTTAACATCATTATTTCTAAGGTTCTATACTCTTACAGATAATATAATTATGAGCACTAGTGATGCAGAGCAGAGGTGGTTCAGTGGTAGAATTCTCACTTTCCACGTGGGAGACCTAGGTTCCATTCCCAACCAGGGAACCTCATAGCTTCCACCTGTCAGTGGAGGCTTGCGTGTTGCTGTGATGCTAAATAGGGGTTCAGCAGAGCTTCCAGACTAAGATGGACCAGGAAGAAAGGCCTGATGATTTAATTCCAAATATCACCCAATTAAAACCATGGGTCACAATGGTCCAATCCCCAACTGATCGTGAAGATGGCACAGAACTGGGCAGCATTCTGTTCCCTTGTGCACGGGGTCTCCATGAGTTGAGGGCTGACTTGATGGCAGCTAACAAGAGCAGCAACAATTTATGATGTTTACTATAGCAGGAGCCCTACTGGTGTGGTGGTTAAGCACTTGGCTGCTAACCAAAAGGTCAGCAGTTCAAACCCACCCAGTGGTTCCATGGGAGAAAGATGTGACTTTCTTACTAAAGTCTGCTTTAGTAAGAATACAACATTGGAAACCATGTGGGGCAGTTCTGTTCTGTCCTATAGGTCTGTTGTTATAGGTCAGAATCAACTCAATGTCCAAGGGTTTGCTTTTGTTTTAATTGTAACAAGAATCCTATGTTTAAAGTTCCAATCTCCTTCAGAATATAAGCTCAAAGGTCCCGTGGTAGGAGAACATGCATCATAAGCCTGAGTATCTCTCAACCATAGACACTTTACTGTGATTGTTTTATAATGGTTCCACAATTATAAGTTGGAAGTTATGATTATTTATAGCCTAGATCCACAAAGGGTTTCAGAAGTCACAAGAACAAACTGAGGAAGAAATCATCACACTTTGGATAGACAGACATCCCAGTAAACAAAAATTTGCCAGAAAAATTTATTCAGAGGGAGATGAGATTAGAAGAAGCTGGGGTCCAATTTCTTTAACTGAAGAGGATAGAAGTGAAAAAAATCTGCAGTTTGGCCTGCAGAGAAGGAGAAGGGACCCGACGCTGTGAGTGGGAGGTGAGGAAAGTGTCTGAGCTGGAATGGAGTTTGTGGGTAGGTGTAGATAAAAGCCCTGTGGATCTCAGGGCCATACAGAGGGCACACTATTTTTCCCAGGGTTCAGCCATGCCCCATCCTGTCAGCAGCCCTCCCTAGCACAGCTGAAAAGGTTTTCTGTGAGAAAACCATCTAAGCACCCACCAGCACTTCTCACAGGTTACTGAATGAACATAAGAACTCTTTGGGGTGCTCACTAAGGGAAAAAAATGGGCTTTAATCTTCAGTGGGCTTTAATCTTCCCCATGAAGGGTTCTTACTGAACATAAAGTGAAGTTTTCGAAAGTGAGGAACAAGAGCTGTATAATCTCCCATTGTGGAAGTACTTCAGAACTGAAGTCTTCTGAGTGATGGGCTATGATCATTTCCAAAGATCTGTGGAAAAAACCTCAGTTACCATGCTGGTGCCTCATGTGCATCACCCTACTTTCTCCACATGCAAACTCTGAAGGAGGTCCTAGCTCTGTCCTCATGGACACATGAGGAGGCTGAGGGTCCTGTATGCTCACACAATGAACTCAAGGCCAAGGCAAAAGGGTAGCCAAAGGGACAGCCACAGGGCTATACATCATGTCAAGGAGTGTTTATTTATCCTAAGGAAATGGAAAGTAAGTGAAGGGCTTTGAGCAGGGACATGACACCATCATATTTTAGAAAAATCTGTGCACAGTATGGAAAATGGATTGGAAGAGGATATACTGGAGGCAGGGAGACCAGTCACAACACTCTAAAGATGAGGCTCTAGGATAAGAGCAATAGCGATGGGGAGAAGTGGACAGTTTGGAGGGAGAGAGAGGATCAACAGTACTTAGTGATTGGTAGGTGAGTGAACTAAGGAAGAAACAGTCAAGTGTACCCAGAATTTTGACTTGAGCAAGTGGGTAGATGGAGCTATCACTCACAGAGGCAGGGAGTGTAGGTGAGAAGCAAATTGGTTGGGAAGCAGAGCCCACAAAGGGATGGACAGAGCTGCAGAGCATCCAAAGTAAGCCTATCTGGTGGACAGTGGAATGCTAAAAAAGAAACCCAACCTGTAGGTATATGGTTAGATTCATCACCATGGAGTGGATGAATTATGAACTTGCCTAGGGGAGGGCTATTGAATAAGAGAAGAGAATCTAGGTAAGAACTCAGATGAAACCCAGTATTTATGCAAAGAGCAGAGCAGAGGAAAAAACTCCATCAAGGATCAAAAAGAAATGACTAGAGGTATAGGAGGCAAGCTGGAAAATCAAAAAGGAAGAGGTAATTAGGGAGTGTTAAGCATTCTGTATTAGTAAGTGCTGCTGACACAAATCCTGAACACATCTTGAGTCCATCTCTACTAGTACAATCCTAGGACACGTCGTTATAATTCTTAACCTAGATTTGTGCAACAGCCTCCTAACTCATCTCCACATTTCCACTCTCGCTTCCCTTTGGTCCATTTCTACAGGACATCCAGAGGGATCTTTGCTTAAAAACACTCCTTAGCACTAAGACTAAAATTCAAACTCCATTTGTTTCTTGCCCGAGGGCCCATGCACTAGCTGTTATGTCTCTTTGAAACCCCTTTCACATCCTTTTCAAATGGTTGGATCTTCTCATTCTTTCATTCCTCTTTTGAGAGGCCTTCAACAACCCCTCTATCTAAAGCAGGGCCCCTCCCCTTCATAACCCAAATCACCATTTGTAATTACTGGACTTACATTTACTTTTTTTTTTCCTGTCTCTGACACTAGATCGTACGTTTGATAAGGAAGAGGCGTATACCTGCTTTTTTTGACCTTATATCCCCACCACTTAGCTCAGAGGAGTCCCTGGGTGGTGCAAATCGTTAACACACTCAGCATCTATGAGAGGTTCAAGTCCATCCAGAGACACCTTGGAAGACAGGCCTGGTGACCTACTTTCAAAAAATTAGAGCACAGTTCTGCTCTGACACAGATGGGGTCACTATGAATCAGAGTTGAATTGACATCAGCTGGTTTACTGCTTTACCTAGCCCAAGACTCTATCATTTAGGAAAATTATTAACTATAAGGAACAGAAAACTGAACCAACAGTAGCTTAAGCCAATTAAGTTTTATTTTCTCACATAACAAGAAACCCAGAGGTAGTTAATGATTGATATTGTTCAGTGGCTCAATGCTCATATCTCTGCAATTATCATGCTCTTTTCCTCATGGCTGAAGATGGCTGGTGCAACTCCTGCCATCTCATCTATGTTCAAGGCAGGGAAAGGAGGGAAGGGAGAAGGCTGTGCCAGCTGCGTCTGTCCTATCTTACAAGGAAACAAAAGCTTTCCCAGAAGTTCTCCCAGAAGACTTCACTACATTTTATGGACCAGAACTGGAACTCAGAACCACTCATAGCTGCAAGGGAGAAGTGTGTGTTTGGCTTTCCAGCCTCTAGTGAGAGTAGCAAGGGAGAAGAATGTCCAGAATGGGTAACTAATCAACAGTGTCTTCTGCGAAGCGGTAATGTGTAAGTGTGTGTACCCGGAGTCAAGAGCTTATGAAGGTGAGAGGTGGGAGAGAGCTGGAGAGATGAATTGAGGCCAGATTGCAGAGAACCTTAAAGGCTTGAATTCTACATCCTCCCTTCTGAACCAATGCAAATGGCTCAGAGCACTCTGCTATCTCCCCTTCCAGTGTCTCCTGATTTCCCTCTCTCTCTCCATTTTCCTTGTGAAAATCCAAAACACTGGAGCATGGTCAAGGTGAAAAAGGGAGAAATGGTTTTCAGTCTTCTTTCCCCACAGCAAGGGCTTGGGGGTCACTAGATGATGGTGATAAAGTGAATTCAGAGAAAAGAGCGTCAAAAACTAAGGAAATGGAGAAGGCTTATCCTTATCCTGGATTGAATAATAAAACACGGAATCATGGAGAGCAGGATTTCTAATGGCCAATCCATGGGCCAGAAAACACTATTTTTCCTGACTCCCACCCAGACTCTTGCTATTATCTTTTACAAAATAGATACTGTTGAAAAAGCCCCTCTGGTCCCATTGCACTCTTCCTCTCATTGGGCTCTGAGTAGGGAATATAGCTAATATCCTAGACTGCTGTGCAATTAAGTTGAAAAACAGTGAAATAGTTGGGGAAATAAAAAAAGAACTAGTTGCCATCAAGCCAACCCTGACTCACAGTAATCCCTTTTGTATCCAGAGTAGAACTGTGCTCCATAGGGTTTTTCAATGGCTAAGTTTTCTAAAGGAGGTCACCAGGCCTCTCCTCTGAAGCAACTCTGGGTGGATTTGAACCACAGGTCTTTTGGTTAAAGCTGTTCTGGTTACCTAGTGCCGCTCTGACAAGAATATGCCACAAAGGAATCTTAAAAGCTTGCAAGCAGGCATCTAGATGCAACGATGGGTCTCTTCTAGTCCAGAACAAAGAAGAATGAAGAAAACCAAAGATTCATGGAAACAATTAGTCCTAGTGACTGGTATACCACGTGATCCACAGTCTATACGA